TGTATATTTTATTCTTTTGATTTTTTTAAACTCCTAAATGTGCAAAAAAAGAAGCCTGACAACACAAAATGTCAAGTGAAAAAAAACATATTTCTTTTTATCTTTCACAGTTTCTAAAATAAGTGAGTCTTATGTGATGTCACATGCAAGTCAATATTTATTAGCACCTTCTAATTCCAAACACATCGAAAGTATTAAAAGAAGTGTTACTAAATGTTCTCTCAAAGTAAGGAGGTGGGTGAAGAACCCAGATGAGACAGACACTGAATGTCAAGCTTCAGCAAATTCTGCTGTTCACAGAAATCATGATTCCTAAGGATTCTAATTACAACATTTAGTCAGCATCTTTGTCCCACTGTCACAGAACTAAAAACACTGCTACACTCCCTTCGCACAAAATCTCTCAAGAATTCTGTCCTCAGATCAGTAATGTAGCTGGGGAAGTACTCAGTCAAAACTGATATTTTACATACTATGTTAGCATTAAACAAAAGCATCTGAGAATCATTAAACATGCCAAAAAGAGTCAAATTAAACATCTGTCTTCCTCAGTACTTTGTCACCTTTCACTACATGGAAAGATTGCCAGGAAACCATAACATGCCCTCGGCCATGAGGAGGGCTTGGTCTTTCTCATGGAAACTGCTTCCACTGTTAGCATGGAAGGGACATGACAGCCCCATACCCTGAGGAACCTATACCCAACTATTGTTCAGTGCCACACAGCTGGTTCAGGATCTCTTCAGGCAAGCTCATTATTTGTTCCTTAACAGGGGAAGGTGCTGAAGAAGGTAAATCGTGGTGTCACCCAGTTTTGGTTTCTGCCTCACTGAGTCTCTCTGGCTGCTGCAGGCTGCAGAGATCACAGTCATCCTCAGACTGGCTATGAAAGAGCCTTTACAGCCTTCTTCCATCCCTTCCACTGGCAGAGGGAAGAGAGACCTGATAATCAATGGTGAGACATCGTCATCACTCGGGGCACGGAAGACCCAGCGTGTGAGAAGGACCAGTTGCTCCCTAGAGGAGTCTCTCCACCAAGGTCAACTCAGGTAAGACCACTCACCAAGAGCAGCTCCCTTCTCCCTTGCCATGGGGGCTGAGCCTGCTGCTGTGCCTCTGTGTCTGCCTCTGCCACCCTCCAGCCCCGGTGAAAGCCACGGGGAGAGTGCAGATGCAGAGATGAGCAGGCGTGCTGCAGAGGCTCTCCCTTTCACAGGAGTTCTGGTAAGTAACAGCACATCCAAAGGATGGTTCAGCTCTGCTTGCTCACTCCACAAAACTGCTCTTCTGCCCTTTGGTAAAGATGAACATCCTACAGTCACACTATCACTACATCCAACACAGACGACATCATCTTTTGTGCTAACAGCCTGCACTTGTTACAACAGGAAACAAAAAATCCTAGGAATGCCTCCAAGGCAGACCTAAAGAGCAAAAACAACCAGAGAAGCCAGCTGCTTATTGTTCTGTAGTTTTCTGTTCCATCCCTGGCAGCCTCGAGGCTGTTTTAACTCACACAAAGTGGATATGGTGTTTAAAGGACACAACTCTGACAGGACACGGCCAGAGCACAGCACTGTCCACCTCAGATCTGCACTGTCACTTTCACCATTTCCATCACTGAAAGCATCTCCTATGACACCCAACTACTTCCTCTTCAGAGCCAAGACAAAAATTAATGCTATCAGGTATTTCTGTTGACCCAACCAGGCACCAATAAACAAATTACATGGAAAACTGGTAAAAAGAAAAAAACAAACAAAAAAAAAAAATCCCAAAACCCTCATAGCTCCCTCAACTAAACAAAACAAAAATCCCAAACAAAACCTCAGCCTAAGCCAAGTCCTCGCTAGCCAAAGGAAGCATATGCAAGCAAAGTACTTGCAAACCTGCTAAAACTGAATGAAAAAAGCTAATCAACATAACACATTACAGCAAGTGACTTGGTTGCTTCAAAAGCTAGGACTTCTACATAGGAAACTGTCCAAGCCAAATTCCTGAAGCTCTATTTAAAGCCTGGTTAACTACTTCAGCTTTCTACAGCCTTGAAGAATTCTCCTGCTTTGTGAACTGTGAAATAGCATTTGCTGCACTATTTCAGGTGGATAGACTGTAATGACTTTCTTCCACGTGATTAAATCAGAAGACGAGGAATCAATCATTTGGGCTTGTACATTCTGCATATTTTTGTACAAATCTTCTCACCATTCGATGTCTCTGCTCTCCCATCTACCACAAATTACACTCGTGGCATGCTGAACCTGCAGTTTTCAGTGCCTGCCTAAATCCTCAGAAGTGAAATTGCAGATCACAAAACAGATACCCAGTATAGCAGGCAGTGCACAGATCTGCAGAGAACAAGATATGAGTAGCCAAACATTCAGTTAAGGTTCTGAAAGAGGCAGGATTCAGAAATGTTTACCATGGTGGATGAATAGGGCAACGATAAGGAAAAATACAGCTCTTCAACTAGCTTGATGTGAAACATATTGATTCAATTAGCACAGTAACTGTTAGCTCCACCAAGTAAACAGATGGTTGAAGAAAATCAAAGTTCAAATGATTGAAGGAAAAAACCCCAAACAAATCACTTATTTAAACTGAGTTATAGATCTAACTCAGCCCATAACTGATTCAGACATCTGAAATCAGGTCTCTATCCCAGTTGAAACCTTTCCCTGTAACTGATGAATTTAAATAGTTACTTTATTTTTTTTACACTGTTCTCTGACTCAGATGTCTGCATCAAACAGATGTCTTAAAAGAGTAAGTTATGGGCATTTTTAAATATAAAAGTTGCTCAATACTCCAAACCTGAAGTTAGACATCATAAGACAAAAGCCATGACAGAGCTGTAAAAAGCAGAGCTTCTCTGGGATTTATATCAAACTATATTCTTCCTAGACTGTCACTGAGTAGAAGATACAAGCCTCAGCTCTCCAGAGAAACAGAAATGGATATGGCTCATATGTAAACCAAATCATCCTAGTTCCTCCTAACACCACCACGCTCTTAACACATTGATGTTAATTTGGATAGTCCAGAACACACTGTAACAAAGTCTGGCATGCAGCCTTGACTTTTTAAGTACAACAACAAATAATTTTATTATTTATATGTACAGATGACACGGTATAATACTGCTGGTTAACTCAGTAGCATTTTCACATATGTTACATATATTCACATTATCAATATAAACAGTATGATTATAATCATCATCAATTTGATTCATTTCCATAGGAGGTTCATTTTGCTCCCTTTATAACATTAACTGATAGAAGGGTGGAAAAAATCTATTTAACAGAATGAAAATAAACAACACCATTCCAGGGGGGAAAAAAATTCTCCTGTTCACTTCAAACAGCAACATCAAAAGAATGGCAAGAAACCAATTCAAACCCAGAAGTCTATAGTGAATTATTAATTCAACTGCAGGAAAATTCAACCACATTATTAGAAGTCAGAAGCCTGGAAGCATAACCAGAAGCAAAGAAGTTCAAGACATATTGCTTCAGGTTTCTCCTTCTATCCCTACACCTGCTTTTGGCTCCATGCCTCTCTTCGCTCTCGATACCTGCTTTCTTGGCATCTTTGGTATTTGCACTGTGTTCCCTCCTTCCTTCACCAATCCTGTCACACATGGCCCTGAGTTGCACTGCTGTTCTCTTCCAAAGGCACGTGCTGCAGCAGCTCAGAGCATGGAGAAAGCACTCCTGCTGCTTGTTCCTTTTCCATCAATACTGGGGGACCTTGCTGCCCAAGAGGAATGAGGCCAAATCCTTGCTGCCTGTCAGCCAAGTTAATGATTCTCATAATGCACAGAAACTGAATTACAGTCACAGACAGAGCAGAGTCACCTCCCTAACACCAGCCAGGCTTCTCCTGCCATGTTCAAGCAGCACAAACTCTTCAAATCTTTTTAGGTAAATCATTGCAGAAAGACAACAACTTATCCCAAATCTCTCTGAAATGGTAGCTGACATTTCCTAAAAGCATTCAGCCTGAGTCACAGTATTTGGAAAACATGTGCCCAAGTGGCTGAAAGTAACAAAATTTAAGACCCTGTTTCCTGCTCCTTTAATCCAAAGTGGATGCCTATAATAGCAGAGGGCTCAGCTTTCACCATTGGACAAAAAGAGCATCTCGTAAAGAATACTCTTTGTGCTTCTTTTTCACCTTTGTGCAAGGACTAATGTTTTTGACATCACCAAGCCAACTGGAATTTGACTAAGTGGGAAAGCCTAGTACTCACTTCAGTCATAGAAAATGAAATTTAGGGTGAAGTTTTACACTCTTAAGGATTATGGACTGAAAAGAAACTATTCCCTTCCCACACACACCCTAAATAAGTTAGGCACACTTCCTTTTAGAAAGCAACTTCATTTGAAACATTTAAAGAACAAACCCAAGCAGCTGTAAAACATGAGAATATACAACAGGTAAGCTTCATAACACCGGGTTTTCCACTACTTCTTCCCAAGCTTCTCATGAACTATAACCAGACATTATTCACCAGTTTCTAAAGGCATGAAATATACAAATGTAAGCCTGAAAAACTAAAGAAAATGTTTGAATAGCATTCATGGCTGTATTACAGCCTCCAAGGCAACAACAGCCTCAGTTTATTCACCTAAACAGAAGTTAAAATGTTTTAATCTCTGTAAACCAATAAGAACTAATTTTGTTAGAAAAAGAACTGAATACTAAAAGTCAGACCAAATGTGACATTTAAGTCACTAACGCCAATCCTGTTTTTAAATTGCTGCATTTAAATATAATCTGCCCTGAGGCAGGCAGTTGCAACTTAAAACCAGTAAGTTTCAGACAGCATACATAACAGGTACATAAAATCTCCCATGACATTTGTACCTACTTTATACCCCTATGATAAAAATACAGCATCCACAGTAAAATAACATGACTGAGCAGAAAAAATCCAGTATGCATGCAAATTAATAATTTTAGTAAGTTTGCAAGTAAAAACAACTGTTACTTACTGCTATTTCTCTGCATGCAGACATGGAAATTCCAGTACCTTCTATCTGTTTTAAAGCGTAATCTTTATCATCTTTCCTGTGAAGAGAAAAAGAAATTTGGGTTTTTTTTAATTGCACCGTAAATTCAAAGTGAGCTGTTCAGTACCATTCAGAGATCAGTTTCTAATTAATGCAAAGTATGCATGTTATTTTCTTTTCATTCTTTATCAGTTAAATGCCTGGATATCCAGCTAAACTGTAACCAAACCACAACACTCTATAAAGTTAAATAATAAGTTTGCTCTCATTAGATTGACATCACTTAAAAACTTGCTTTACTAAATGCAATGATTAACACTTCTTCCATTTCTTCCTTCTCTTATCAAAAAGAAAACACAGCAAACAATTAGCACTAGAAATAAGCCTAGCTGGAGCTTTATCTCACATAAATGTATTACTCTAGGACACAGTAAGTCTCGCCCATATTTCAATGAATTCTTGACCAGTCCAGAATTAATGTCACATTAAAACACCTTTTCTTTCTCCTAGGTACCAAACTGCAATTGAAACTGCCAAGATTAATTAAAAAACTACACTGGATGTTAGAGCAATGTGAAGAATCCAGAAGTGGATTCCAATGGAAGGTGTCCCTGTCCCTGACAGGCGAGCTAGAACTGGATGATCCTGAAGGCCCCTGCCAATCCAAACCATTTTATGAGTCTGTGAAAGCTTGCTTAGGTTCAAATGTATATAACACTCCTAAAAGCAATACTGTGACCTTTCTGTACTTCAACCAGTATAAACCTTAGAGTCACTTACTGAAAATGCAAGCCTATCAGTAATTCCAACTACCAAAAGCAAAATCAGGAAGAGATGAACTGCAGCAAAAGAAGACCCTGAATTCTTGCTCATTCTCAGCCACAAAAACTCAAAACTTTTAAGAGAGGGAGTGCTTGTCATTCCCACTTCTGGGCAGGCATCCACAGTGCTCCTGGGGGGCATGATACTTAACAGCATTGCTTCAATATTTGGAGCACTTTTACAGTCTCAAATCTCTAAGTTACATAAGAAGCCTTATTCATTTTTAATGACTCCAGCTTTCACAGCCATGAAGAGCCATCCTAAAAAAATGAAAATTCAACCATTTTTAAGGCACATAAAACTAAGCTGTAGTTAAGGACTGGGAACCAATCTACTTGTTCCTTCCAGTTCTCACAATTTGTAAAACTTTGAATTGCTTTATTTCTACCTAAACCACACACTTCTCCCTATTCATCACCACCTAGGGAATGCAGAAAATAGTGTGAAATTATTGGGCAAAATCTGAACACAGATAATGAGGAGAATGAACTAACAGCAAGCAGACAAGAGAAGATTTCAGTAAGGGGCCAATTACATGGATGCAGTGAGATAAAAGACAAGAAAATACACAGCATTTGACACAAAAAAAAAGAGAAAAAGAATAGGGAAGGCAACAATAGAAGGCATTAAGAAGCTTCCATGTAATAAACCCCTAAAATTTCCTGCCTGGAAAAGAAAGAGACAATGCTGAGCACAAAGTCTTGTGGCCAAAACAAGGTGTTGTTACACAATTCCCCAGAGTACATACCTCTATACAAGTTAGATGAAAACAAGTTGCATGAAGCCATTATGATACTAAGCACAAAACTGAACTGTGCAACTCATGATGTAAGATTATTACAGGGATGAGAAGCACAAACAGATTTAAGATCCAATTACATAATTTGATCTTTTGATGATCTTTGGTAATTTGATTTTAAGATTAAATTAACACAAACTCATGGTGGATAAGGAAGTTATGGACCACTCCACGTGCAGCTTCTGAACATAACCCCAAGCTGCTTTACAGCACACAGATTCTGAATGTTGCTGATAGAAAGAGGGGGAAATTTTCACAGCTAAAAATTGTTTTATCCTCTACCTGCCTAAGCAAGCAATGGCTATCCAGCTGTTAATAGAAATATGAAGCAGAATGAATTGGACTATAGGTTATTCTCACTGCCCTACATGTTTATCTTCTTCATTTTGAGGTGTGTGGAGAGATCTCTATTTCAAGAGAAGCACTTCCACGCAGCTGCTGTTACATGCATTACCACCACTGTCAGGACAGGGAGCAAAGTAGGCCAGACTAAAGGTTCCTCTCATTGCCCTGCTGCTCATCTGCTTAGATTTCAAGGTCTTTGAAGGACAAGTCAGTGTTAACATGAGGTACTACCACAAATCTAGCCATATTACAACAATGAAGCCTGTCATACACTTAAGATGGTACAACTACTTTTAATTGGTCAAATTTCTGCCAAATTAAATCTGGACTAAAATTCTCCATACCAGATGGCAGACCTTCTTCGGAAATTTTTAGGGGAAAAAACCCTCAGCTGTTTCCTAGAACAAAACTGGAAGAAGACTCTTTCAGCTGAGTATGTTAACTCTTTCACAATCAGGGCTTTAATGCTGAAATTCAACAGGGTGGCTCGAAGAACACACCATTTGGTCTCCTCTAAGCAATGAATGAAGTCCTTGAAAAAATTAATCTTCTCACATTAAAGGCCATTTTAAGAGCTGAAATCAAGAGCTTCAAAGCCCAATCTTGCTCTGCCCTTACAGTGACCCAGGGCTGTGGGGAATGAACTGTTCCCCTGCTTTGCTCTGCCCAGCTGCTGCAGGTGGGAACTCGGACCAAGTGGCCTCTGCTGGGTCCTCAGCCTACCCATGCAGTCTAGAAGAAATAGAGGGATGGCAAAAAGAAGGAAAATAAATTAAGTTTAGGGATAAAGCACATTTTTTAGCACCATGCTACACTCCACTCCAGAATGAGGGGAAAAAATAACCAAAGACTTTTAAGACTTAAATTCTCTAAATTGTGCTGGCAGAGTTGAGATATAAAGCAATAAACCAATTCCTAACCCACTCCTAACATGTTCTACTCTGAGGCTGCTAAAATACCATGATTACCCAACTAAACCCAATGTCAGCTTTTCTATTTATAGGAGTAGGAACATCCTATTTTTACCTTTAAGCCAAGTGGTATTTTCATTGAAAAACCTAATGTAATTCTTTCAGAGCCAAGGAAATTGGGGGAATACTTTTTAAAGAGAGCGGTAAGCGTCTGCAGGAGTGCCAAACACCATGACCAACCTTATTTTACAAAACTTAAAAAAATATTTTGCCAATAATCTGTTTAGAATCATAATGCAGCCCAAGGCTTCTCCATGATTTTGGACATGGGCAACTTCCTTCTCTGAAAATAAAGAGATGTTTGAAAATAAAGAGACATTCAAAGGCAAAACAGAAAAAAAAAAGTAGTAAGTAAAAAGAAAAAAAAAATTTAAAGAAGTCCTCTTTATAAACATCTTCCACAGCCAACTGTGAGTAACAAAATGGGCCACTTAGCAGGCTGTATTTTAAGGGCACAGTAAGACTCAATTCAACTGAATTTCTTCCTTCTAATAGACAGCTCATGTTGGGAAAAATCTGCTTTCTTTCCCTGTTGCCTAGAATTTAAACATTAAGTAACCTCAGAAGCTCCTCCACCTACCAGTAGGCTTAGAGAAACTGGCCAATCTGCAAACTTATTTTCCTACCAATTTACTCTTACTTTCCTGCACTTAAATAGGTTGGTATCTTCAACTCTGTGGTGCTCCCCAGCAGTAACATGCAGCATGAGAGCAGCAAGAATAAGAAAACTCACTTTGTACACTGCTGCTGACAACAGCAGTACTTATTGTAGGAATGAGCAAACTACATAACCTTGCGGAAAATCCTCAGAGGGACAACACTAACATCAGAGGTGTAAACTTGAAAAAAAGGTTACACTCAACACCACGTCCAACAGATTTTAATGACAATAGCAAAATAAAAAAAAAAACCTACTAAAGTACCATTTAAAAGTGTAAAATATGTTGCACCTAAAAAAAATCTGTACATAAGAAAGGACGCCTATTACATAAAAGGCAGATTCTAAAAAAATAAATTGTAATTTCATCTCACATACCAAAAATGCTGTAGAAATGTATTGACATAACACTACAATATACCCTTTACTCAGATCATCAGAGCAGTTCAAAATTCATCTAAGTAATAAATATAGCAGAATAAAGTGCCAAAGTCTTTAAATCAGGGACGATCAGGGTAAATTCTTGTTACAGTTAAAAATCTCAAATTCAAAATTAACTGGTCACCATGTGGGATTAGTTGTGTCTATAAGGAAGGAGATGTAAAATCTGACTGCAGTTAAACATGTGAAGGAAACAGCCACTTAAGTTTTCAACTGCCAAAGGGAACTATAAATGCAGTATCTCTTCTACAGAAAATTAACTGTTTATGCCTCTTATTCCCTAAAAATAAAAAAAACCCACTGATAATGAAAGATAAGCCTACTAATAAAACGTGTAGGTGTTTTTTTTTTAATTTCTACATGTTAAATTATGAAAATCAAACACAACAGCAAAGTATAACATTTAGGAGACTTGGCATTTTCATTTTGTGGCATCATTCGCTGTCTCTTCTCCCACGTCACACCAGTGGAAATTTTTGGTTTTATTTTTAAATAAATTAGAATCACCCTAGTCATACAAGAGATCCAATGAGGTCTACTGGAAGCAGTAATTCAGTTCCTGGGAAGTGCATAAATGCACAAATGCAGTTTTTGAAAGATTTAATCCTTTTATACTAAATGCCCGTAATACAACCACAGCAAACATTTAAATACAAACCATAAGAAGACATAATTTTCTAGAAAGCACAGCAAGATGAGAATAGACTTGGTACCCAATCAAATGATGACTTGCAAAAATAGATTTATCTATTTCCCACAGATATTATCAACACCACATTCGTGCACTAAATAATTTTGCCAGAATTAGTTATTTATACTAGTAGTTCTAATTGTTTTGCATTTTGTAAACTACCATCCCAGCAGCTGGAGAACCAAGGGGCAAAGAACACAAGAGGTTCAGGTTCTCAGTGCCTTCTTGGCATTGGTTTTCACATCACAGCGCATTTTCACAACTACACATTCTCAACACTAGTGGCACAGTCCTGGTGAAAGGAAGTAGAAGAAAACCAAATTAGGGAC